ACTCCTAGCCTATTAGCTAGGATGGGCAGGGATTGTGTCCCTAGCCTCTGTTTACCAGAAGCTGGGAATGGGCGACAGGGGATAAATAACAACGATTATTTGTTCTGTTCATTGTCTCTGGGGCACCTGTCAACGGCCAGTGTCGGAAGACAGGGTACTGAGTGAGACTGATCTTTGGTATCACCCAGTATGGACATTTTTATGTTATGATCTGTGCTGCAGAGGAAGACCAACACCCCTCACTTCATCAGGATCTCTGCCAACCTGCTTCAGGGAAAATTCCTTCCCAACCCCAAATATAGTGATCAGTTAGACCCTCAGCATGTAGGCAAGACCCAGCAGCAAGACACCTGGGGAAAATTCACTGAAGTAATTCGGAGCCTTTCCCATCTAGTGTCCCATCCCCAGCCATCAGAGAGATTTGCTGTAAGTAGTTGCAAATCAGCTACATGTCATTGTAGGTGGGCTCATCGTACCATGGCGTGATGTAGTGGGGGTGCTGTCTGCTTTGTAACTTGGGGTTCCCCTACACTGTGATGTGTGATTCCCACTGACTCACCCACATGTGTATTGGCCCAGACACCTAGTCCCAGCCTGAGCAGATAACAGGCCTCTTCCCTGAAGGAGAGACAAAGGAAGGGAGGCGGAGACGGCCACCTGGCTGGGGGGGCAGGGCTTTGGAGCTGGTCAGTCTTGTCTGGAAAAACATGGAGAGAAGAGACTAAGCCGAGTACTGGGAGTTGAAGGGAGCGGTAGACCCTTACCTGAAGGGATCTGAGGCTGCCTGGCCCTGACTCATGAAACCACATCTCATCTATGTTGTGCTGTATCCTGAAGAAGCAATAAATCTTCTCTATTCTACTGACTGGCGGAGTCTCATCTTGCTGCTAGGGGGGTGCAGGATCGGGGGGAGAGGGGAGAGGTCCCTGATGCACCGTCACACCATCCCCTCCATGTTTTGTCCCCACTGCTCTCCTTGAAAGGCTATTCCAAAACTTTACTTCTCTGATGTCTAGAAACTTTTATCTTTTATATCATTTTCTTCTTGTGTACCCATTGGTGATTAACTTAAATAACTCCTCTCCCTCTCTGGTATTTAACCTTCTGATGTATTTAGAGAGAGTGATTGAATCTCCACTCAGTCTTCTTTTGGTTGGGTTAACATGCCAACCTCTTTGAGTTTCCTCTCATAAGGTAAGTTTTCCATTCCTCTTATGATCCTAGTGTAGTAGGAAGAAGGACAGAAATACTTAGAAGTCCCTCTCTGCATCTGTTCCAGTTTGAATTTACCTTTTTTAAACATGGGAGACCAAAATTGCACATTGTATTCCAAATAAAGCCGCAACTATTTCTTGTATAAGTGTACCAACACTTCTGTCTCGACTGGAAATACCTTGCCTGTTGCATTCTAGCACTACACTCACCGTTTTTCCTGTCTGCAACATATTGGCCACATAGTCATCTTGTTAGCAACCAATATACCTAGGTATTTCGCCTCTTTTGTCACTTCCAACTGATAAGTCCCCAGCTTATAGTAAATTATTTTCTTGTTAGTCCCTAAGTGCCTGTCCTTTTTTACTGTCTCTGCATACTGTGCAGATATTTTCAGAGAAACATCCAAAAGGACTCCAAGATCTCTTTCCTTAGTGGTAACAGAGAATTTTGACCCCTTCATTTTGTATATAGAATTGGGATCATGTTTTCCAATGTATATTACTTTGCATTTATCAGTACTAAATTTCATCTACCACTGTATTGCCTAATCACACAGTATTGTGAGATCTCTTTGTAACTTGTCACAACAGTTTTGGACTTACCTACCTTGAGTAATCTTATATCATCTGCAAACTTTGCCATATCACTGTTTGTCTCTTTTCCCAATCATTTACAAAAATGTTAAACAGCATCTCTCCCAGTCCAGATACGGGTAAGTCACCTTTAACAACAAAAGGGGGAATGTACACCTGGTCACTCCCTGCCAACCAGTACTAAGCCTTAAGGACAAAAGGCTATTTTTATTTGACTGCCCAGACCAGGGGTGGCCAACCCGCAGCTCGCAAGCCGCAGGTGGCTCTTCCTCCTCCTGAAAGTGCAGCTCATGAAGCCGCCCCCGTGTCTTGTGAAGCTTCCCTTGCATCCTTGAAAATGGCCCGCAGCTCCCTGTGCTCACCAGAGCAGGGGACCCGTCCGGCGCAGCCATTCAAAATGACATCTTCAAGATGGCAGTGGCCGGCAGGAGCCTGATGTGGACAAAAAGCCTTTAAATGCGTTTCTTAAAGGGGCAGCCCTTTTTTGTTGTTGTTGTTCAACAACTTTGCCCCGGCTCTTTGCGCTATATCCACTGCTATTTTGGCTCTTTGTGCTGAATGGGTTGGCCACCCCTGACTCAGACACTGAGGCCTCACTTGATGACTTTCATGCAGCAGGTATGGATGGTGATAGGTCTGCTGTTGTTACCTGCACAGCATGTGCCATGTTTGTCTTCCTCCCGGAAGAAAGAACGGATTTCATCTGCACTAAGTGCAAGCTGGTCACCATTTTGGAAGAAAAAATAAGAAGACTGGAGGCCCAAGTGTCGACCCTATGCTTGATCAGAGAGGATGAAGACTTCCTCGATAGAAGGAGGCGTTTAATCCTGCAAGCACGGCAGACAGAGGAACCAGAGAGGGCAGAACAGGACCAAGAAGAGAGCTGGCAGCATGTAACTTCTAGAAGGGGAAAAAGGCCAGCACAGGAATCCCTCAATGCTATAGAGGTAAGTAATCGCTTTCAGGATCTCTCCACAGGCCTTGCGGTGGTGAATGCTTTGGAAGGGACCTCACAAGGAAGAAACCAGAAGGGAACACCATCTACTGGAAGGCATGGGATGCATAGTCCTAGGGATGGGGATTCCAAGACCACCCACCCCCAAAAGAAGAAGGCGGGTGGCGGTGGTCGGGGACTCCCTCCTAAGACAGACTGAGCCATCCATCTGCCGTTCGGACCTGAAATCTTGAGAGGTGTGCTGCTTACCAGGAGCTCGAATTCAGGATGTGACTGAAAGGATTACAAAACTGATCAAACCTTTGGATCACTACCCCTTCCTGCTTCTCCATGTGGGAACTTATGATACGGACAAGAATGACCTTGAGCGGGTTACTGCAGATTATGTAGCACTGGGAAGAAGGATCAAAGAATTCGGAGTGCAAGTGGTGTTCTCATCCATCCTTCTTGTTGAAGGGAAAGGACTGGGCAGGGATCGTCGACGTGAGGCAGTAAATGCGAGGTTGCGCAGGTGGTGTCGGAGAGAGGGCTTTGGTTTCTTCGACCATGAGACTCTGTTCCGGGCACAAGGATTGTTAGGAAGAGATGGGATCCACCTAACAAAGAGAGGAAGGAGCATCTTCGCGGGCAGGCTTGCAAACCTAGTGAGGAGGGCTTTAAACTAGGTTCGTTGGGGGACGGTGACCAAAACCCTGAGAGGAGTGGGAAAGTCGGATACTGGGAAGAAATGAAAAGAGGAACGAGCAACAAAGGAGGACCCCTGATTAGAATGCAGAGGGTAAGGCGACCAACTGGTTATCTGAGGTGTTTGTACACCAATGCGAGAAGCCTGGGTAACAAACAGGAAGAATTGGAGGCCCTGGCCCAGTCCAAGAAATATGATTTAATTGGGATAACAGAGACTTGGTTGGATTAGGAGTGGGAAAGTCGGATACTGGGAAGAAATGAAAAGAGGAACGAGCAACAAAGGAGGACCCCTGATTAGAATGCAGAGGGTAAGGCGACCAACTGGTTATCTGAGGTGTTTGTACACCAATGCGAGAAGCCTGGGTAACAAACAGGAAGAATTGGAGGCCCTGGCCCAGTCCAAGAAATATGATTTAATTGGGATAACAGAGACTTGGTTGGATTACTCGCATGACTGGAATGCTGTCATGGATGGGTATAAACTGTTCAGGTTCTCATGGGGGACTTTAATCACCCTGACATCTGTTGGGAGACCAATACGGCAGTACACAGGCAATCCAGGAAGTTGTTGGAGATTACTGGGGATAACTTCTTGGTACAAGTGCTGAAGGATCCAACCAGGGGCTGTGCGCAGCTTGACCTTCTGCTCACAAACAAGGAGGAACTAATGGGGAAGTACAGGTGGGTGACAACCTCGGAAGCAGTGATCATGAGATGGTAGATTTCAGGATCCTGACCACAGGAAGAAAAGAGAGTAGTAAAATACACACTTTGGACTTCAGAAAAGCAGACTTTGACTCCCTCAGAGACCTGATGGGCAGGATTCCCTGGGATGCTTACATGAAGGGGAAAGGAGTCCAGGAGAGCTGGCAGTATTTTAAAGAAGCCTTATTGAAGGCACAGAAAGAAACCATCCCGATGCGTAGCAAGAGAAGCAAATATGGTAGGAGACCGGATTGGTTTACAGAGGAAAACCTTGGTGAACTTAAGCACAAAAAGGGAGTTTACAAAAAGTGGAAACATGGACAAATGACCAGGAAGGGATATAAATGTATAGCTCGAGAATGCCCGGGGGGTTATCAGGAAGGCAAAAGTGCAATTGGAATTGCGGCTGGCAAAGGATGTGAAGAATAACAAGAAAGGTTTCTACAGGCATGTTAGCAAGAAGAAGGTGATCAGAGAGGGTGTGGGACCCCTTCTGGATGAAGGAGGTGACCTAGTGGCAGATGATGTGGGGAAAGCTGAAATACTCAATGCTTTCTTTGCCTCTGTCTTCATAGACAAGGTCAGCTCCCAGACTAATGTGCTAAGTAACACAAGATGGGATGAAGATGGACAGCCTTTGGTGGGTAAAGAACAGGTTATGAACTATTTAGAAAAGCAAAACATACATAAATCCATGAGTCCAGACTTAATACATCCGAGGGTACTGAGGGAGTTGGCAAATATCATTGAGTAGCCTTTGGCCATTATCTTTGAAAAGTCATGGAGATAGCGAGAGATCCCGGATGACTGGAAAAAGGCAAATGTAGTACCCATCTTCAAAAAAGGGAAGGACGATCCAGGGAACTCTAGGCTGGTCAGTCTTTCCTGAGACCCTGGAAAAATCATGGAAGGGATCCTTAAGGAATCCATTCTGAGGCACTTGGAAGAGAGGAAAGTGATTAGGAATAGCCAGCATAGATTCACAAAGGAAGGGCAAGTCGTGCCTGACCAATCTGATTAGCTTCTATGATGAGGTAACTGGCTCTGTAGACATGGGGAAGTCAGTGGATGTGATATACCTCGACTTTAGCAAGGCTTTTGATATAGTCTCCCACAATATTCTTGCCAGCAAGTTAAGGGAATGTGGATTGGATAAATGGATGGTAAGATGGATAGAAAGCTGGCTAGAAAGTTTGACCCAGCTGGTAATGATCAACGGCTCAATGTCAGGATGGCGGTCGGTTTCTAGCGGAGTGCCACAAGGTTCCGTTCTAAGACCGGTTTTGTTCAATATCTTTATTAATGACCTGGATGAGGGGATGGATTACACCAGTGGCCACCCATACGCTGCGTGCCCAGGAGCCGGCACCGCCCATGCACCACGTACCAGGGGGCGGGGCTGGCCCCGATCACTCGGCGGGCGCACAGAAATGGCCCAGCGGGTGTCATGGTGCCTGCAGGCACCACATTGGGGACCACTGGATTACACCCTCAGGAAGTTTGCAGATGACAGTAAGCTAAGGGGAGAGGTAGATACACTCGGGGGCAGAGATTGGGTCCAGAGTGACTTAGACAAATTGGAGGACTGGGCCACAAGAAATATGATGAGGTTCAACAAGGACAAGTGCAGAGTTCTGCACTTGGGACAGAAGAATCCCAAGCATTGTTACAGGCTGGCTAAGTAGTAGTTCTGCAGAGAAGGACCTGGGGATTACAGTGGATGAGAAGCTGGATATGAGTCAACAGTGTGCCTTTGTAGCCAAGAAGGCTAATGGCATATTAGGTTGCATTAGGAGGAGCATTGCCAGCAGATCCAGAGATGTGATTATTCCCCTTTATTCAGCTCTGGTGAGGCCACATTTGGAGTACTGTGTCCAGTTCTGGGGCCACCACTACAAAAAGGATATGGATGCACTAGAGAGGGTCCAGAAGTCCCACCTTGACAAAACCCTGGCTGAGTTGATTTAGTTGGGATTAGTCCTACCTTGGGCTGGGGGCTGGACTTGATGACTTTCTGAGGTCTCTTCCAGCTCTATGATTGGGAACATGTAATGTCAGGATGGGATGCAGAGTTAAAATGTCTAGATACCAGTAACGACAACTTCTTAGATCAGTTAGTTCTGAAACCCAGAAAGGGAGAGGTAAGTCTTGATTTAATTCTTAGTAGCATACAGGATCTGGTCCAGAAGTGAATACAGCAGAACCACTTGATAATAGCAATCAGAATGTAATTAAATTTAACACATTGGAGGGGAAAAATGCCAAAGAAATACACCATGTAGCTTTTCACTTAATATGGGGAGCTATATGAAAATGAGGAGGCTAGTTAAATGGAAATGTCACAAGGGTAAAACATCTAAATTTGTGTGAAAACTTTTAAAATACACCATAATATAGGCTCAAGTTCTGCACACCCAAAATAAAAAAAATAACTGAGGAATAAACAGTGCCTCTGGCTAAACAGTGGAGTAAGAGAGGCAGTTAGAGGCAAAAATACACCTTTCAAAAATTGGAAATCAAATTTTACTGAGGAACAAAGGAAAGAAACATAAACTCTAGCAAATAAAGTGTAAAAGTATAATTAGGCAGGCCAAAAAAGCAACTAGAAAAAGACATACGTTATTTTAAAGTATTTCAGGAGTAGGAAACCCCCTCCTTCCCCGTCAGCGGGACCACTAGGAGAATCAAGATACTAAAGGAACACTTGTGGAGTAAGTAGCTAAATGAATTTTGTGTTGGTCTTTGCTGCAGATAGTGTGAGGGAAATTCCTCTACTTCAGTCACTCTTTTTAGATGACAGATCTGTAGAACGGTTGTAGAATGAAGTGTTTGTAGAGGAGGTTTTGGAACAAATAAACAGTAATAAATCACTGGGACCAGATGTTATTTTCCCAAGAGTTCTGAAGG